AGGGGGAGAAACAAAGCCAGAGTGACAGGTACATGAAATGGGTCAGACCTGAACTTGCCTCTCCAACATGAGAATGGGCTCATTGTGTTGGATTCTATATTTACTTAAATGACTAGACTAAAATTTTAATTCAACCATATGTTGTTCCAAATTTGTATGACTTAACCTTTTTCGGCAGAACACAAAAGGAGATATTTTGAATAATGCTCAGTTTTGGTTACCATTGACTTCCAGTGTGTGGACAAAAGCACTCAAAATATAATCTTTATGTTCCACAGAAAAATTCACACAGATTTAGAACGACATGAGGGTAAGTAAATGATGACAGATGTTTAATTTTTGGGTGTACTATCCCTTTAACTTAAAGGCCACACAACCACCACCATCAGGGTTCCAAATGTAATCTGACTGCTTTAAATGTGGGTCACATGACATGTCACTCAACTGCGCATAATTAACATCCTGTTAACAGAAGCTGATGCCTGTGGAAAACTTATGTTGTCAAAACAATCTCATGAGAAAACATAACTATGATATTTTTTGGCAAATTAAGAATTGGTTGGGAATTTGTATGATTTGATTTGTACAAAAATGTATGATTTTCATTAAAAAATAATAAGCATGAAGGTCCACCCTTAAATCTAACCCTCAATGAGACATAAACAAATTGTACAAAAGCCTACAAACTCATACAAATAAATACCCACAACATACATATTCATACAAATTTGCCACAGATTTGCTAAAAATGTACCTCAAATTTGCCATGAATTTGGCAAAACATAAATTTGTTACAAATGCCAGTTATCAGGGTGTGCCATGCAGTTTCTGTGGTGTTCTGGCTGGTTGCCCAACTCAAAAGAGACCACCCCAAGTCTCTATAGAGAGATTCTGGTCTCTAGAAATGACTCGGGTCCTTCTTTTAGTGTCAGTGAATAGAATTATTTGGCCAGTTTATCATCCACTAGATGAAAAATCATAAGTCTGGTCACTTTGAAAAGTAATTGCAAACTTGGCAAGCACCACTAATTAGTATTGACCTCAGAAAGTACATTTCCGTTTCTGAGCCATACGTAGACTATATACATTAGGGAAGAAATATGCAAACTGCTTGTTTAACTTATGAATGTCATCAATATTCCTGTCATAGACAGCCTATTTATGATTTTTCAGGAGACCATTTAGTTCTGGATCTGATCTGTTGCAGCCCTAATATATCTCTATTAGTTGTAATGAAACACGGTAATGTTTTACAGCACAGTGGGCAAGTGCTCATTTCGTCTAAAGGCTTCAAAGATGGCGAGATCAAGAGATGGCACTGAGAAAACTATGAATAAATGAATACTATTTAAAGGGGAATGAGTTCTGTTTGAATGAAATATGTTTCTTCTGAGTGTCTGCGACATTCTACTTCTTCGTTTTCTGTGTTATTAGATTTTTTCCTATTTCCAGTGCAGACATGTCATTATTGTAAAGGATGTTGTCATAAGCACAAACAGTCATAATTACTACAAATATTATCATTATCATCGGAAAAACTGCAGTTTCAGATGTCACCTATGAATCTGCCATCTCGTCTTCATTCATTAGCCTTCCACTCATGTGAATAATGTCTTCGCCATTAGGACCACGAGGTAATGAATTCGCTTTGGTTGTGGCAATTGTATTATTATTGTGATTCCTTTCTGATATGCACCGCTAATGTGACAACGGCCCTAAGAACTAAATTCTGTTGTTTATGTGTATTGTTTGTGCAAGAGATGTGCAGCTGATAGCTTTTTAACTGATGTTTTGTTTACTTTGTTGTTGGTTTGGTCTAGTAAGTTTGATACTGCAGTATTGTGTGCGAAAACAGCATTTGAAAGCTCCAGCTGATCTAATGAAGAGGCAGTGCGATCAAACTGTCAGAATGAAAATCTCAGTTTGAAATCTCTGAATGTTTTTCACTGAAAGGCAGCCACCTGTGACCCACCTTTACAGAAAACCATCATCTGAACACAGATTATAAATGCTACATGGTCATTCCCTTAAAATAATCTTTCTATGGTAACCATAGTTTCCACTAGAATACTAAAATATTGTTATTGAGTATTGTTACATTCTTGATTTAATGTGGCATGACTAGGGCCACTGGGTGCACCTATAATTAAACTCTATTTTTATAGGCAACTTTTGTATTAGCTGCCATTGGTACCAAAAATAATTTAAAGAAAATATCAGAGAAGATCCCACATTTATTATAGCCTACTTTATCAGTTAAATAACTTTAGTAGCTATGTTTTTTTGGGGGGAACTCTGGTAACCATAAAAAATATTTTTGGTCAAAGCAAATCTGTAAATCTTGTTGTGTTTTATGATTATTTGGACCGATAGTATTGTAAACGGGGATTAAATTACCAGAATGATCCAAAACAGTATGGTTTTATATATATATATCCATATGTGTGTATTATTTTCTGCATATTGTACATTTCATATGTGCGTATTATTTGATTGATCATGCAGCCTATTTTTTGTACGTTTGTTGTTTTGCATCAGATTTTAGGGTTCCCCCACCTCCAAAATTACAATTTAACTATTGTGTATACTGACACTTTGTTGAATTATATATCATGATAATTGTTTTGGTTTTCAAATGTAAGGTTTATGGTAAAAGACTGGTTCCACAGCAACATCTAAGCGTTAAGTCACAGTTTCTATTCAAATCAGTGTGCACACATCAATAATTCATGATTTCAGTGTGTCCTGCCTCACTGGCTTATATGGATTACATCAGAGTTAGATCAATTGCCTGTCTCTGATATGGACCCTCCACGTTTTTGTTTAAGGGATTGTACCACAAACTCTTTAGGTACTCTTTAGAGTTTTGTGCCATAGTCTTAACAAAGACACGTCTCTGCTCTAAGCAAACATCTGATTTAAAAAAGCCCAGATGAGAGACATCCATACTTTAGGCATCTGCTTTCTGGAATGGCGTTCATTTTTGTTTTTGCACCAGGCATGTGGTCGTTGTGTAGCACTGGAGTGAGCCTTTTGACTGATGAAGCGTTTGATTTGATGAAGGTGGTAGATTAAAGGATCAGTACTTGCTGTTTCACTAAATTGACCCCACGGAGTAAGCACTTAGGAAAAATTGATTGATTTCACACCTTATATATCTACACTGTTTGAATGTTTTTTTCCTTTGACTCTGTGCTTGGCGTTTAATAGTAAGTGTACATAGTTCGCCCAAAAAATTTAATTTTGTTATAATTTTCTAATTTGTGCCAAATAATTATGATTTTAGTTCAAAAGGGGGGAAAAAAGAAAATATTAACTAGAATTACCAAGCTGTTTTGAAAGTGGATGGAGAGCAGGGACAGTTATTAATTTTAATAAAAAGCCAATATGCCAGTAAACAATGATTGACACTTCAAAATAGACTTTACTGAGAATGCGGGAGTTGAAAAACACATTGCACAAGACAATAACTGACAAAGGACAGAATAGAATAGTGAGTGTATATACAGTGGGTACGGAAAGCATTCAGACCCCCTTAAATTTTTCACTCTTTGTTATATTGCAGCCATTTGCTAAAATCATTTAAGTTCATTTTTTTCCTCATTAATGTACACACAGCACACCATATTGACAGAAAAACACAGAATTGTTGACATTTTTGCAGATTTATTAAAAAAGAAAAACTGAAATATCACATGGTCCTAAGTATTCAGACCCTTTGCTGTGACACTCATATATTTAACTCAGGTGCTGTCCATTTCTTCTGATCATCCTGGAGATGGTTCTACACCTTCATTTGAGTCCAGCTGTATTTGATTATACTGATTGGACTTGATTAGGAAACCCACACGTCAACAATTCTGTGTTTTTCTGTCAATATGGGGTGCTGTGTGTACACTAATGAGGAAAAAAAATTAACTTAAATGATTTTAGCAAATGGCTGCAATATAACAAAGAGTGAAAAATTTAAGGGGGTCTGAATACTTTCCGTACCCACTGTATATATAGTAAATGAGGGAACTAAACCGGAACAGCTGGACAAGGAATAACTAATCAGTAGCCATAGAAACTAATGAGAACTCATAACAGACATGACAGGAACTGAACTAAACTGGACATAACTGTGACACTATTGTTATTAAAATGGTATAAACACTAATTAATTTTTGCTGTAACAGTATTATAGAAATGTTTTTCACAATATGATTTTTGATGTGTTTATATTATCCATGATAATGTAATTGATGTATTAATATATTATACATTTATTATAGATTCATACATTTATAATATATTTATATTGTTTATTAATAACTTGTTTCAGCCTTTGTTTTGACTACCCCAAAGTAAAATAAAGCATCCTGTATGAAGAAATAAAAATCGGAATGCTTTAAAGATTGTTAATGCAATGAGAAATAAATTTTTGTTATTGTTAAATTACTGTAACAGCCTAATAGTACCATAAATAACAGCCTAAATAGTATCATAGTACAAATAGTTACATAAAAACGGGCTATTATTATTGTTATTATTATTAATAAACTCATATCATATCATATATCATATCATATATCATATCATATCATAGATCATATATCATATATGATATGATCTATGATATATGATATATCATATATCATAGATCATATCATATATCATAGATCATAGATCATATCATAGATCATATATCATATCATAGATCATATATCATATATCATATATCATATATCATATATCATATATCATATCAGTGAGGCTTTACATGGTTAGCCATGTGATGTTTAGTGCAGTTTTGATTAAAAATCTGTGGTTTTACCTTGACATATTTAAAACCAATCTTGACTAGATTAACTCATTTTATGGGGAAAATAATTAAATTTGGATTGCTTGAGTAGTAAAAATCAATCAAGCCCCAGAAAGAGTTCTTATTCTTATTCCCCAGAAAGAATTCTTATAACAGCAGCAGTATCTGTAAATGTTGTGTATTGTGTGTGTTGCAGACGAGTGCGGTGCTGTGTTCAGGTGGATGTGCTCTGCTGGCAGTCAGCTCCCTGCTGGCCATCATCACCATCTTCCTGCCCAGTGGAGCCTGTGAGAGGAGGATCTGCACATTGACAGGATACATGCAGATGGCTGCAGGTTAGTGTCCGGATTACTATCTGACCTCTGATCAGCTCTTAAACAACAGCCCTTAGATGAACCATGCTGAGTAGCATTACATGACTGATCCTAGTCAAGTAAAACCCTAATCTGAGCTTTAGACGGGACCCCCCTAGACCATCAGAGGCATATTGCACACATAGATGGCAAGAGCTTTCCAAAATCTATGCAAGACTAGTAAAACCTCAACATATCTTTTTTTCACACTTCACTTTGAAGAATGGCTTGACTTTTCTCTTGGATCTTCTCTGTGTGATTTTGAGTACACCTAACAGCAGGGAGGGATCTTCAGAAGGGAGCAGAAACCTCTTCCTCTCACCTCCCCATCTGATATCATGTGATACACGCTCAAGCACTGCTAACTGCTTTGGACGTCCCATCTGAAATCTGTTGTGTTGTCAAACAACACGTTTGAAGTGTATTGTTCATTTTTGGCAGAGCAGGGGAGAAATTATACAATTTGATATGATGTGGTATAAAGCACTTGAGGCTGAATTTAAGTAGCGCTTCATATTAAAAATGCAAAGTCTCATGTTACACCTTCATTAAATAGTTTATTCAAACACTGTTTGCAGTCCATGCACAATATTTAGTGTGAGCAGATCACCTCTGGTGGAAAATAACAGGTTAAGCTGGTTTTTGGAATATGGTAGCTGGCCCAAGGTGGTCTACCAGTTCTGACAACAGAAAACACTGGAATAACACTTTTTGCTGCTTAAGCTAAAGCAACACAATTGAACTTAATTTCATTGTGTTCAGTAAACCTACATATGTAAGATTGAAGTTTACTTAATCCATTTGTGTTGGGACTGCATGAATAATTTTGTTGTTGTTTTAAGCTGGGAAGTGTTTTGTTCTCAACATGCTTCGCATGGCTGAATCAGGAGAGGAACTGTTGTAATAAAAGGAATAATTCAGCCAAAATTGTTTTCAGAAAATTTACTGATCCTTAGGCAGTCCAAGATAAGATGAGTTTATTTTTTCATCTGAACAGATTTGGAGAAATTTGCATTACAAAATTTGTAATTTGCATTAATTTGTAACTTGCTCACCGATGAATCCTCTGCAGTGAATGGGTGCCATCAGAATGAGAGTACAAACTGCTGATAAAAACATCACAATAATCCACACGACTCCAGACCATTAATTCACTATAGAAAGCTAAATTATGGATGGAGGACTCATATTTTAGCTTGAATCAACAGTTTGAAGTTAAACATGTCTTAGTGATTAATTTGTTTATTACAAACATGCAGCTTTTCACTCCACATGATGTTAACTGATGGACTGTTATTATCGTGTGGATTATTTGAGGATTGTGTTTTTTATCAGCTGTTTGGACTCTCATTCAGACGGCACCCATTCACTGCAGAGGATCCATTGGTCAGATGACCTGAGTTAATTTTAGCAATTTTTTATTTTGGGGTGAACTATGCTTTTGTGTTATTTTGTATTTTTGAGTAAAGGGAAAGACCTGAGTTTCTGTTATGTTTGTTGATGTTTTGTGGTTACAACTGTGCTGAAGACTAGAGCTTTTGGTTAGTTCATAGGTGGATGCATGTACAGTATTAAGACTGTAATATTTGTTGTTTTTGCTCGTTGAGTGAACGGTAACGGCTTGCTTGTTCTGTGCTAGTACAACATAAATTTGAGCCTCTTTCTCAAAAACACAGACTTGTATTTAATTGAACCAATACAACTAAAAAACATTGAGTAAGTTCAACCAAAATTGTACATTTAAATTCAAGATAAAATAAAATAATGTAACCAATTGCCTTAAAAAACTGTAAAATCAAAACGCCATTGTGCCAGTGAATGTACATGCTTGTCCTCGACTCTTCCAGCTGGTAGTCCAGCCAGTCAACTAGACCAACTTCACCAGCGCAAAACCATCAGAATCTGGAATTTCTTTAGGGTTGGCTTGTTATTCCACATGGCAGGGGAATGCGGTTTACAATTTTGGTTGCTATTTCCTAGTCATTTCCTTTATACACACACCCTCTTCCATGGTTTTGCAGATATTTTCTGAACATGGAGAATTTTGAGACTAAACAGCCAATCCATCTGAAGCACTTTGTTGCAGAGGGCAACAATCACAAAAGCTAAATTAATAAATAAAGAAAGAAGTGTTAGCTCTCCACGCCGGTTGCTTGGCGACGACCATCGGCAGAATGTTGTGATAGCACGGTGAGGGCACTCAGAGATTTAGTGGCCACAGTAAAAAGACAATTACACCCTTTTAACACAGGTCAGCAGTTCAGGGATGGCCACATGCCTTGTGTAGCACTAGCCTTCTTTCAACAGGTGAATATTTCTATAAACAACACCATCCTACATATCTACTTGCCCAAAAACAATCACAAGCACTCATGCTAAATAAATATTTGTTTATATACCAGGGACATGTATATTTGGAGCACTGATTTCCAGTGTGTCCTTGATATTCTTGAGGCCTTGGAAGGTTTATTAGTTGTGGGAATACGGTACATTTAAATGCTTGTTTTAATTGAGCCTTTGGGCTCTACATTGATCATTACAGAGAAACCTTAAATGATTTTAACAGCAGAGTACAAGTGCCTCACACTGATATATTTCCCTTTTCTAATTAGAAAGTAATGATATTTCCATAAAACTACTGTAATGGAGAATGTAAAAGGGCACAGACTATAACGGACTGCATTTGTATTCTCTGAGCATCGATAGAAGCATCTTTTCAAGGGTAAGACACTAGTAATCAACTTCAGCTCCGATAGATACCCTCTTCCAAACAGACAGCCCTGCAAACAAAAGTCTTTCAGCAAGTTTTCACTAAAATATTTGCCAATTCACCATTTTGAAGAACGTTTTCTCTCTTTTTTTGCTGTTTTTGGATAAAGTTTGTAAATGAATAAGCCTCTAAACTAAAGTTTCTGCGTGTTTGCTTTGAAGCAAAAGACATGTAGATGATAATTTTTTATATTTTATCCACTGTTTTGCTTACTGAAAATCAGTCCCTCAACATTGCTTTTAGAGTATGAGCAGATATTACTTTCTGCCAGTCAGACTGTCAAACTGTAATAAACTACAAAACAGATATAATTAGACTATAATGCTGCAGCTCAGTGATTCCCATCCAACAGTTCGCAGGGGGTTTTGAATTCACTGTTAGTTCTTTTTAAAGGAAAGATTCTCTGTGATTTCACTCTTTAGCTTAAAATTTATTAAAGGCAAACAAGCTCAGGTGTCTTATTAAAGGAAGAAGTCTTTTTAACCCTTTAACTTTCACCCCTAAAAGGAGCTAATGAAAAAATTATTTAACTTCAAATTCTTATTAGTAGACATGTAATAAATAGCCCCAGGCACTTTTTTTTTTAAATTTATGTTTTATATAAAACTCTACCGTACGGTTGAGCTGTCAGTCCATGGTAAATCTTGATTTAAATTCAGAGAACTATTTCTTAGTTATTTTCCAATAATAAACATTCCTTTAACTTTATTAGTATCTTGGATACATTTCATAACCTTCAGGGTCCACAAAGACAAAAAAATATATTTAAGCGTCTTTATAATATATGTAGATGAATGACAATATATATGCTATATGATGTCCTTTACAGACATATCAACCATACGGTCACGCATGATTTTGGATAATTATAGTAAATAAACAATTTTGCATTTCTCATATATTTTGCTATATTTCGTTTCTTTACCCTCGACCCTATTCACAACAACATTATGGTTTCATCTCTACTTCCTTGATTACCTGTCAGCACCAGCACCATTCTCCCTTCTGTGTGACTGACTTCAGTTTGAAAACTGCTGCTGTCACCAGTGTTGCCAGATTGGATGGACGATTTCCAGCCCAAAAGCTCACAAAACCCCGCCCAAAAACCGCCCAAAACTTTAACTGTCAAAATAATGTGATGGAATATGTAAATCAAGGTTGATAAGGGACATTTTAACTCCTTAAAACAAAATATTGACGACAAAATAGGCTAATATAAATTATAAATAAGATAAATTCCGCAGGTAAACGGATCAAATCGGGGCAAATAGTCTACATTAAAGAGAATTAGGCTACCGAACATGAATAAAATATGCAAGTAGACACTGTCAAAACGTAATAACCTCGAAACAACACATGCATGATTTTCAATGTCGGCAGTCAGAATAATCCAGTTTAAATGCAAAAAGTGCCCAACGTAAGTGATAGGAAAAAGCAACGTAATTAGCAGGTATTTCACACTCGTTCATGCGCACACCAGTCAACTCAAAACGGTGTCATTCAATGATACTGAATTATAATCTGACAATTAAAAAAATAATAACAACTATAATGTGCTTACCTTCGTGTCGCTCTATAATTTTACACCATTAGATTGTTGTATAGCCCTATATATCCATGAATGTGTATGCCCTAGTTACTGGAAACTATTTTCAGTCATAATTATTTGCATGTATTAGGATTTGCCTGAAATACCCCAAAATGTTCATCTGAACTCACAATTTTTGCATTATTATTACAGTCAAATCTGGACACAGAAAAAGCATGGTAAAAAGGCTTTACATTGCTAAAGTTGACAGTGCAGTGATTGACAGCGTGCTTGTAAAATGGCATCGGTCATTGTCAGATACAGTACATTTAGTACTGTACATTATGTGCTGGGGGAAAATATGAACTAACTAATCAAGTCTAGCAGTTTTCAAGGATTTATCAATCTGGATGTTTAAAAGATAAACTACATGATCGTATAAACCGACATATTTAGTTTAGGTTATGATTAATTCAAATATGCTCTTCGTGTCATCTCACTCCACAATAATTCACGTTTTGAGACTTGAGTCACTCTCCCACTCTTTAACCTATATTTAGGCATTGTGATTGCTTGAATATACAGTCACATTCAAAATAAGATACGTTATAACTTATCACGCTAATAACTTGTCACCCTTGAATCATAACGACTGTCTGCTGAGCCCTCGTGATAAGTGCAGCT